ATGTGTGCGTCAGCGTGCGTGCGTGCGTGCGTGCATCCGAATCCGGAATGAAAGAACACTCACGTCGTACTGCAGCTGGCTGACCTGCGGACCTTGGTCAACGCCGGGCGCGAAGGGGTCCCCGACATTGATGTTCTTGGTCTTCTCCGTAAGCTTCTCGAGGAACTTGTCGTAGATGCCCGCCTGCACATAGATGCGCGAGCCGGCGCAGCAGGCTTGGCCGTGGTTCCAGCTGAGGGGGGAGGTTAGCCGACGGTGAAGGGGACAAGCGAAGGACGAAGGGAGAGGAAGAGGAAAGAGAGATGAGAGCTGAAGGGCTTCGAAGAGGATCGTAGCCCCACGAGGACTGCATCAGCGATGGAGCACGTCCCCGCTTCATCGACACCACTGCGGAGAACACCATCCGTCCCGATCCCGATGTACAGGTATAGCATGCCCGAGCCACCTGCTCAGGCGTCTGGCCGCTACGAGATGTCGCCGAGCACACGCCCCAGTTATCGCATCGTCACGAGCTTCACTCAGCATCAGCGTAGCATGCAGCACGGCGGCGGCGCGCTCCAGCTCCCTCCGGGATGCGTAAAAAAACGCATCGCACACCCCGAGTCCGCAGCGGTGGTCGATGAGGGCACTCCCTCGCTACCGGGAGACCCCCCAGACGACAGAAGGTACGCAAGTCGCGCATTCGCACTCCCCGCCCATGTTCCCTCCCCAAACTCCACCACCCCCCGTACCCCCGCACCCCCATCCCCCACCGAAAGAAGCGAAACCCGCACGCACAAAATCCCATGCGCCGCCCACCCCACCGCCTGGTCCAGGTCCGCGTCGTCAAAGACAGGCATCTAGCCGCTGCGAGATATCGAGCTTCGATTCAGCACCAGCGTAGCATGCAGCACGGCGGCGGCGCGCTCCAGCTCCCTCCGGGATGCGTAAAAAAACGTATCGCACACCCCGAGTCCGCAGCGATGGTCGATTAGGGCACTCCCTCGCAACCGGGAGACCCCCCAGACGACGGAAGGTACGCGCACTCCCCGCGCACGTTCCCTCCCCAAACTCCACCAGCCCCCAACGCAAGAACCCCGCACCCCGCACCCCCAAACCCCCCATCCCCCACCGAAAGCCGAAACAAAACCGTACCCTACTCACAAAATCCCATGCGCCGCCCACCCGACCGCCTGGTCCAGATCCGCGTCGTCAAAGATGACGTTGGGGCTCTTCCCGCCGAGCTCGAGCGTGACGTTCTTGAGGTTGGAGGACGCGGCGGCGGTCATGATCTTGCGCCCGACGAGGGTGGAGCCGGTGAATGCGACCTGGGGGGAGGTGAGAATGAGGAGGGGGAGGGGAGGGGAGGGGGAGGGGTGGAGAGGAGGGGAGGGGACGAGGGGGCGGGGAGGGAGGTGGGGAGGGGACGAGGAGGTGGGGAGGGAGACGGGGAGGGAGCGAATGAGCAGGGGAGGGAGGAGAATGAGGAGGGGAGGGGAGGAGGAGAAGGCGGGGAAGGGATTGGGGAGACCACGGAAGGTGAGGGATTGATGTAATGGCAGATGCGGAGCGACCAGCACAGGAGTGCAATGACGCGCGCGACGTGACGGGGAGGATGAGGACGATGAGGGCGAGGCGAAGGCGATATATGTCAAGGTGAAGATGTGGATTGAGGAGGAGGCGCAAGACATAGCGGACAGGGTGAGGAAGGATGGGATAGCGGGGTGCGACACGGACGGGTAGGAATAGAGAGAAGGGACGCGAAACACACCTTCTGGATATCCATGTGCTCCGCGATCGCTTGCCCGACGGTGGGGCCGTACCTATGGAGGTAGAATGCACGGTCAGCAATCTATCTTTCCTTTCCTTCCCTACTCTCTCGTACTCCTACTCGCTCATACACCGGACGTGGAGCGGAGTAAACGGCTGTCGCTCGCCGCACTCGCTATCGGCATCGAGGATCACGCCCCCCGAAAAAACACCTCCTCTCCTCTAACAAACGAAAAAACCCACTCACCCAGCTAAGACATTAACCGAGCCCGGCGGGAAGCCCGCCTCCTTGATGAGGCTGCACATGTACAGCGCGGTGAGGGGGGTGAATTCAGAGGGCTGGGCGGTGGGGGAGAATTATGTTAGAGAGAAGAACGAAGCAAAAAGGACGCGAGGAACGCACGCACCTTCAAAACGATGGCATTCCCGGTCGCGAGCGCGGGGCCGACCTTCCACGAGAACATGAGGAGCGGGAAGTTCCCTACATGTGCGAGTGCGCGCGTCAGAGGAGTCAAGCGGGGAAAGGACGCGCGACGCACATGGGATAATCTGGCCGACGACGCCGATGGGCTCGTGCCGTGTATAGATAAGCTTCTTCTCGTCCGTCTCGATTGTCTGGCCCGAGATCTTGTCTGCCCAGCCGGCGTAGTATCTGTGCGAGCGTCAGCGAGCGCGATAGTGCATATTTCACGGACGCACTTTATCGTGGCGGTGGCGAACGCGACGTCGACGTTCTTTGCCCAAGTGAAGGTTTTTCCTGCGTGGCGGTGGGGTTAGTGAGCAAGCGAAAGAAATACGAAGGATAACGGAAAGGCGCCAAGTATGCGGGACAGAAAGGGTGTTTGAATGGCCCTAATTGCCCGACGCCCAATGGGCCCCCCCAGAAACACAGAAGCCCTCTCACCGTTATCGATCGCCTCAATCGCACACAGCTTCTCGCAATCCCGCTCCATCAAAAGCGCGAGTTTATTGATCAGCGCTGCCCTCTCCGCGCCGCTTGCGTTCAAGCCCCACGCCGTGTCGAACGCCTTCTGCGCGGCCTTGACCGCGACGTCGACGTCGCCGGTGGTGGCCTCGGGGATGGAGGTGAGGACGTGCCCGGTGGTGGGGTTGATTACACTTGAGTGCAAAGTGAGCACGATATCATTGTATGTATCAGATAAAGAGAGACGGACTCAAGCTTCTTCTTCTCGACGCCCTCGACGAACTCGCCGCCGATAAAGAGCCCGGTCGGGAAGCTGATCTTGCCTTTGTACGACCCAGTGTTGAATTCGTGCGTGAAGTGAGCCATTGCGAGCTGGTATCTCTTGCGTATTCGTGCGTAGAAAGGTCCTTGTAGGCAAGAGAAAGCAAGCTCTGGGAGTGAAGTTAGTGCGTTTATATATACGCCACGCCGCGCCGCTCATCTGACCTGCTAAGTATGTAATGCAATTCGCATCCCGCGCATCCCGCGCTCCTTCCCCCTCAAGCTTTCGGCCCGCCACACGCCGTTCCCATACTTACTTTCTTGTTCCTCGCTTCTCTGCGTCTGGGACCAACCTTCAGGCACCCAGTTTATTCATACCGCAACCTCACAAAACCTGCTTCAGAAACGCGATTATTTTCGAATGAGACGCATGGGAAGACACAAAGGAGCAGTGGGCAAGCGCGTGACGGCGGATCTTCCCTCGCTTGCCACCCGCCGCTAAACCGCTTTTGGTCACGGTGTGGGCCGGAAAATCATATTTCCGGTCCTTCCCAAAATCACGCGCCAATATAAGGTACCTGAGTCCTCTGAATCGAGTGTAGTCAGTAACCGTTGGTGATTCTGTGATAATGATGTTGCGCCCCGACGTCGGGAGGCTGGAGCGGGGGCCTAGGGCTTGGGCTTAGGATATGTCCAGCCAGGCTAGATCTGGTCTCGATGCCTGGTCTCGACTCTCGGTGCCTCAAGATGTAAGCACGCTTACGCAGAAGCCGCCGGGTAAAAGCAAACTGAACCTGAACTCCAGAAATACCGCGCGCTCGTGTTGAATCCATTGGAATCTTGTGGTTGCGATTCTATCTATCCATGCGAGTCTGAATCGGATGAATATGCATTCATTCAGACTCTGTGCGAGGTATGGGTATATTCATGTATTTCAGCCAGTGTACTCAATACTTAATACTTGCCTACTTACTTATCGACAGGCTGCCTAAACTCGAACCCGCAGGAGCCTCATCCAATTTTGCTTTGGCGCCAAGTGCTACGCAATGCCAGTGCCGGACATACATCCCAGTAAGTACTAGTTACGACTACCGCTAATTATCCGTGCTCGTTGGTGCTCGCCGCTCTCGAGCATCGGGACGCGTCAGGCTCAATAATGTGAGCCGCAAAGACAAAGACAGAATCAATTGCAAAGCCGTGCCCGTGGCCGTCAAATAGATGCCGCCAAGACAAGAAAGTTGGATCATTTCAAAAGCATGAAATCGTATCAATATTCTCGCTGCGGGCCTCGTTGACGTAACTTAAGTATGTACTTGTCACAGGAAGCGAGCTGTGGCCCGACAATATTTAAAAAAACCTTGAAACAAACCAAGGCCTCTGGTGGGATTCGAACCCACATCTCCTCGCTCAATTTTACTCCATCCATACTTGGCATTGTACCAAGGCAGTTTCCTGAATCCACAGAGGCGTATAGATCCCTATTCGACCCTGGGTCAGGTGTGAGTGAATTCAGGCCTAGGTTTCACAAATCTTGCTCTTCAACTCAGAGTCAATGCCAATTTCAAATAGTGGACACACCCCGAAGCTTAGATTTCTCAGTTTAATTCCAAGCAAGTCCAAACCAGCAAACCAACACGTATATCATGGATTAAAATTTTAATCAACCAGGGAAATCAAATAAGAAACCTATGCGAGCGTCGAGACCATGCCTCTGGTGGGAGCCGAACCCACATCTCCCACGTAAACGCGGATTTTAATCGGTGTCACTATTGAACGAAGGTGATTTTCTTAATCCACAGAGGCGTACAGCTGTACCTACCTTCGACCCTGGGTCAGGTGTGAGTGAATTCAGGCCTAGGTTCACAAATCTCGCTCTTCAACCCACCCAACAACATTTGACATATCTTGAAGCTTGGATTTCGAGCCTCAGCCCATTGGTCAGTTTGGATTCAAGCAATTCTGAAGACCAGAAGCGCCAAGACGTAAACGTAAACCAAGGATTTAACCAACTCGGGGAGACAAAATCAAAAAAAAAAAAATCGGAGGGCGTCACATACACTTGCCATGCCTCTGGTGGGAATTGAACCCACGTCTCCCCAGTCAATTTGAGGCGACTGTTAATGGAAACGAAGTCATTTCCCTAATCCACAGAGGCATACAGACCCATAATAATTCGGCTCTTGGTCAGGCGCAAATTCGGGCCTGGCAAATGGAGTCCTAGCCGGGTCCAAAGAGTGATTCACAGTACTGAATTCACTCGCACCTTACCAAGGAATATGGGCCTCTGTGGATTAAGAAAATTGCCTAGGTTCAATGATGGCCCCTTTATTTACCTGGGAGATGTGGGTTCGATTCCTACCAGAGGCATGTCCTGGTTGTTGGTTTTTAATTTGATTCCCCTGATGAAATCATGTTTGACTCTAAACTGAATGATGGGCCAAAATCTAAGCTTCAAGACACAGCAAATGTTTGACAGGTTGAAATCAGCCATGAGGTGGAAAGGAACTCAGGCCTGAATTTACACCTTACCAAGGGCCGAATATGGGTCTGTATGCCTCTGTGGATTAAGGAAATCCCCTCAGTTCCACGCGTGGGTTGAAGATTGTTGACTGGGGAGATGTGGGTTCAATTCCCACCAGAGACATCTGGCGTTTGAGTGGAGCATTTTATTTTGTTTCCTTTGGTGGGTTGAATCCTTGGTTCACGTCTTGCCTGGATCTAAACTGACCGTCGATCTAAGCTTCAAGAATCAAGACATGTGGCAGTTGAAATATTGAAGGGTCGAACCCACATCTCCTCGCTCAGTTTTACTCCATCCATTAATCACTGTTGTACCGAGGCGATTTCCTTAATCCATAGAGGCGTATAATCCCTATTCGACCCCGGGTGAGACAGTATGAAATCAGATCTAGGTTCACAACTCTTGCTATTCCACCTCAAGACTGATTTCATTCCACCTGTCAATATTTCGACTACAGCCTGTCTTGAAGTTTTCATTTGGGCCTATCACTCAGTTTAGATTCAGGCCATTAGGGGAAGTCAAAGTTCGGCTACGGGCCAATTCGCGTGTCGATTCAGTAGATGTGGCTGTGCCGATGGCATCACTTGGCAGTCCTTGACCTGCATGCCATATGATGTTGCAATATTGTAGTTGATTTTCCCTTTCAGCGGAATAACTTCTGCTGAACTTCAACGTAGCCACAGGGCATTGGGGTATAGCTGGGAATAAGAAATTGTGTCGAGGCACGTCCAGGCTAGCTGCCACAAAGCTTGAGCGACAGCTTGGCAACAGCGGCAGAACTGTAGATGCGTGCCGAGCGGGGGCACGCGTTCGCTTTCAATCGCTTTTGCTCCTTCCAGTCATGAGCTCCATCACAGAGCTTGACTGCCAAATCGTTGGAGACTCGGACCTGTACGGGTTAGGCGTCCGCATATCCGTCTACAGCCAAATGGTCCTCGAGATCCTCCGCGATTCTATGCAATGGGAGGCAGGCCTCACAATCGAGATCCCCAGCTTGTTCACGGTGGTGTCGATGGAGTGCGTTATGATCCTGAAAGCAATCCAGCGACAACTCACGCCGTTCGATGCCATGGTGACGCTCTTCATGCTAGGTCCGTGCTGGTATCCAATTCCTGTCATGATAATTTACTGACACTATTGGGGTGAATATTCATTTATCATAGGCAGCCTATCCACGATCCGCCCCGTCACGATACCAGAGTCCCGCCGTGCGGCTTTGTGGGGCCGCCTGCTGGACTTGCTTTTCATAATCATCATGCTGTTTCAGTTATTTGTCGGCCTGTGGGCGACCACAAGGCGCTTGGATGCGGGGCTCAGCCCGGATTGCGAAATCTGGATATACAGCTTCTCTCGCCAGCGCGCGAGCGGCTCCGCGATATTAGTCTGGATCGCTGTATATGTTCTCTCCATCGGCGCTGTCCTTGTCGCCTTTGTAATGCCTTTCATCCGTGCCCGGTGCGCCGCGCGCGCCAAAATTCCTATCGCTCCACAAGTGCCACAGCTGCACAGGCCCCCGGTGGATGGGCTGGAAAATGGGCCCCCAGAAATTTCTCTGGACATTATTGATCAGAGTCCCCTGTTCGGGCGGGCCCCCACGTCCTCAGGCTTGAATCTCACATCCACCCCTCGGCTGCGCCAGCCACCTGCGATCCGGGCAGCGGAACCGAACAGACATGCCCCGAGCCCTTTCCCCACCTCCATAACACAATCAACACCCGTCCCACCGGACACAACCCCTTGGCGGAGACGCCGAAAGAACAACAGGTTCCGGCGGAGCATCGTCCCGTGGGCAACGCTAGCACAGAAGCTCTTCTGGGGCCTCGCGTTCAATGTCGCAGGCGCGGAATTCATGTTGTTGTGGAACGATGTGGCGGGCGTGCACGCAATCGTGGGCTCATCGGGCCAGGTAATGGCGCTTCTGATTGCGGCGTTCACGACCGTGCAATTTGGGATGGCTGCCAGCGGGCTGTCGGAGAGGTGAGATTCATGAAGGGTTGGTTGAGGCGTGTACGGCTGGAGAGAGGCAGTTGACTTGATTATGGGACCGCGCCAATGATACTTGATTGAGGTAGACTGAAGCCTCGATGAGGTGCGCGCAGTCGTGAAAGCGTCAGCATGAGGAAGAAAATAGAGATGAGCGCTGTGGACCCCCAACACGAGGGGCGGCAGATCACCGACGAAGGCAGTGGCGCTAAGGCTATCTGCCCGTGATCCCGCGCGAACGCTCTTGAAAGACTGGGCGCAATCCCGGCAACCCTGACCGTCAAAGTTCGCAGATGAAAAATAAATAATCCATTGCATATTGTCGATAAATGCTTCTGTTACGCACGCGCAGTCAATCAACGACGTTTCAAATTCTTAATGTGGTATGGAGTGTCGAGACTCGAGAAGAACCCGGAAAATAAACAGAAGCACTGAGCAGCCGCCGGGTGGCCGAGTTTCGTCAGATGTAGTGGACTAGATGATATGAAAAGTCGAGAAGAGGCCGGTAGGACATCCGTGAACCAGTCTACATCCTCCTAGGTCAGTTTAATTCTTCAATCACCTGAGTGAGCAACCAAACCACCTAACCACTTGATTCATTGAAGGCCACATCGCATGGGCACATGTTGAAAATGGGGAATGTGTCCCGACAACCGGAATCCCGAGTCACTCGCGAGAGAGGTACCACGGAGGGAGACGATGCGAAGACAGCATCCTTCCCGCCACCCTCTCTACACGCGCTAGTGTGAGTATTTCTGGCTCCGCACCCAATCGCAAAAAACTAGTGCCCAGCGACCGCCGAGGCTCATCGCGAAAAAACGAAAGGGAAATGGTGCAAGGGAGAAGAACGAGGAGCCACCCGGCTTCAACACGATGGCGTTCCCGCTCGCGAGCGCGGGGCACCTTCCACCAGGACATGGGGAGGGGGAAGTTTCCTGTTACGAGCGGCATCGACTTTTGTGGAGATTATGTAGAAACGGGGAAGGCAGAGCCCGTGAAAGCGTTGTAGGACCGGAGACCACAGCCTCGTGAAGGAGGAGCAAGAGGCCAGGGCATAGTAACGCAATGCGCCGTGCACTCCAAGTCCAAAAAGCAAGCCGCTACAGCACAACTCCAGAATTCAGACGTCGCCCCACTGTATACACCCAGTTGATTGAGCTAGAAACGCAATGCCCCAGCAACAGCTAGCCCACGAGAGCCGCGCGGGCCATGGGAGCCGCGAGAGCAACGCGATCCACGAGCGGCCCCAGTCGCGCATTTCTCTCGATCTCAATATTAGCAGCGAGATGCACGAGAGCATAGGAAGACACACGCAAAACGAGATCCGAAGGCCCGACGGTGGTAGCGAAGTCAACAGCCAAAAGGTTGCATGCAGGGACTTGCGAGCAACGAGGCAAGAGCTTCTTGCGAGCTTGCTGCGAAAGGGACGGCAAGAGCACGAGAGGCGCGAGTCAGGATGAAGGCTCCCTGGGCTTCGAAAAGGTAACAAGGCGGAGGAGTGCAGGACTCACTGTACATTCACCCCTACCCCAATAAACCAACCAGCAATTCCGCCTCGGTGCAGCAGTACTCGAGTGCTCGAACCCAAGGCTAAAGAAAATGGTACAACACACCACTCACAAGGAATAATCTTCTCCACGACCCTAATGCATTGTGCAGACGAGCTTCTTTCTTCCGTCTCAATGTGATCTTGTCTGCCCGAGCGTTAGCAAGCGCAGGAGTGAAGCGCACGAGACGCGTTGTATGTAACTAAAAAGAAAAGAAGGAGAGAAGGGAAGGGGTGCGAATGGAGGGAGCGGAAACGAGAACCGCACCCAAGGGAGACATTTCACGCTCGTTGGAGCCACTCTACACCGAGATGAGCCGGCGCGGAGACGTCGGCGCAGCGCAGAGGGCAATGGCAAGGAAAGCAGGAGCGGTTCGTCTGCGTCGCCACGGCAATACAGCGCAGAGGCGTGTCCTGCGTCGTACTACTCGACAGAGGCCCGCATCGAGAGCATCAGCAAATTGACAACTCCTTTTGCCCCAGCTTTTGGAACCTTTTCTGTCTTTTACCTTTTTCACGTCTTTTGTAGCAACTTTTTGTGACGCTTTTGGGGCTTTTGAAGCTTTTGGTGCTTTTGGTTTTTGTCAGGAATAATATGGTCTGGACAGTCAGTGTCTGATTGGGCACACACTTGCACCTCAAGTGTTATCCTAATGAACTGATAAACTGTCCAGCTCGCTAGTGGTTATTGGCGCCTTCGCCGGACTGTACGCTCAACGTGGAGGCGCACGCGCCCACCGCCGTCGGGCTGCACTGTACGCTGGGCCTCAATGCTCATTCGCTGCCCACATGCAGCGCCGCGCTCTCACGCCGACGATGCTGCGTGTTCAACGTGGACGACGTCATGGGAGCGCGCGCAGCTGGCGTTGACGGCGCCGCGCACGGTGGGCAAGAAGGGATCGCATGCTGAGCGGTATGCGCAAGGTGGGGGCAAACGGCTGCGGCGCGTGGCGGAAGGAGGAGAATATGTGCCAGTGGAGCGGCGAGTGGAATGTCGAGGACATTGAGGAGCTCCAGGTCTGGCTAAGAACGCACGATACCCGGTGTGGATACCTATGCTTGCATGATTAATATGATTCTGTAGCGTAGCTATACGGAATCAAAT